CTCATCTTCGGCGGGTTGTTGAGCAGCATTCAGTTCCTCGACCTGCTTGCCCATGCGTTCGACTTCAGCAGCCAAACGATCCCTATCGGCCCGGAGCAACTCCCCTTCCTCGGTCAACCGCCCCGACTTCTCTTTCTCCAAGGTCAGCGCCTCCCTCTCGGCGTCAAGTATCACGGTCTGCTCTTGGAACATCCCCTCGGAGCGTTCCAGAGCGACCTTCAACTTCCTTGAGCTCGCCGTCAAGGCTGCCTTCTCCCGCTCGAGCTCTTCAACACGAGCAGCGTCCCCTGCGTCCTCAGACAATACCAGAGCCATTTCAGCCATTTTAACCAGCCCGTCCACGCTGGCGACCAGCCGCGACCGCCTCTCCTCTTTGGTCATCCTTTTTATGGCCTCAGCTTCATGCGCGACCACGGTCGGGGGAAACCGCTCGAAAAAACCCTCCTCCTCGATGCAGGGGGGAAAGGCAAAGGATTGAACGGGACCGGTATCTTCCCCGACAGTTGGACCGCCTTCCACGCGGGTCCTCTTCCTTTGTGTCAGAACGGCTTCGGCATCAATGACTTCGACATCTGGATCTGACGCCGCCCCCGAGCTCGAGGTCGAATCCACCCTCACAGGCTGAGAAGCGTTCAGATTTGTCGGTGGACCCATTCTCGTCATCTGAGGGCCCGGCACGACCTTCTTGTTTCGCCTATGGCCGGTCGACAGTTTCAGGAGCCTTTCATGTCGGCTGGCCATCGTACCTGCACGAAGTAAAAGAAAAGTCAGTATCGAGCAAAACGCGTAAATAAATGACGAGTCAAGAATTTCAAACAAACAACCTAACAGGCGGGCTGCCTCCCTATAGGTCGAGCATTCCACCAACGCCTTGGTATCGATCGGGCGAGCCTCGAATATCGGGTAACCGTCCTTGTCGAGGATGTCATTCCCCTCCCGTGTAACCCACTGGGCGGGATGAAAACCGTCGACAAAGTTACAGAGAGCCGCATACGCCCGTTGATCCTCCGTGCACATGTTCCCGACTGCAGTGTGGAAATAGCCTGTTCCGTGCTCGAAGTGTCGGGGCATCCAATACACCGGGAACTTAGCCCGACGTCCTAGCACGGGGCTCCCGTCATCGTTCAACAATGCTTCCCCGTCGTCATCGCTGACCGGCCCTTCCTCCTCGTAGAGGGAATCCACAGCAGAATCAGTGATAGGGTGTACCACATACCACTTATCCTTGAACCCCCTCACAGAATCCATGTACATCCTAAACAGTCTCCTCGACTGCTTCAAGGACACCCAGCTGTGCTTCCCTCCCCGGGACTGGCGCTGTAGGTGGAAGACCCTAAAGAAGAGGGGTATGGTCGCCCCTATCCTTAAGTAGCGGCACGTCAGCTCAAACGCCCGGATGAAGGCGAGAGAGTTAGGGTGCAGCTGGGACGGGGCCAGCTCCAAATGCGTAAAAACCCCGGTCTCAAAGTCTGTGAAGGGCAGCCGCAAACCCAAGTCCTTAAAGGCGATCTCGTACATCGCAAAACTGTAATCCGGGTACATCGAGCAGATTCTGGCAGTGGTCGCAGGCAGCATGACCTCGAAATTCGGTTGAAAGTCGGGCTGGTCCTGCCCCCCTTCAATGGCGATGAACGGGTGTCGGTCATCCCGACCGTATATCGACGCCGTCCCCCGAGGCTCGGCGCCCACCCATTCCAGCGACGGGTCGGTCACAGTGTCGATAAGGTTGGCCGACTCGTCGGCACTTTGTTCTTCGCTGTCATGACGACCTGAAGAGCTCGGCTCATCCGCCATGGTTACCTGCAGGGCACGGGAAACCAATCAGATTGAGCATGAAGCCCTATGCTCGACATAATCATGTCGTCCATACACTACCGCAAGTCCATTTTCACAAGTGGATGCCTCCCCGACTCTCCTGAATCCAGTGTTCCTCCACAAACCAACTGCACGGCCACTCTTCAAGCATGTCGGTCCGGGGTATGAACATGGCGAGCCGCATTATGAAGCCCACGGCCACGACCATAAACATACCGGGCACCGGCATGAATCAGGCGCCCAGGATCATGAATACCCCGGGCAGCCCTGAAGTTTTTCACCTAAAACTATGAACGCGTCGGCCACAAGTATGCGTTTGCCGGTCCTAGACGTAAATCTGTCGGGCAAAACACGAGTTTACCGGGCTAATCCCACATTAACGGTCCTAGAATCATGCATTCTAAAACAAGAAAATAAAGAGAGTGGATCACTTACTTGGATCAAAGATGGGATTCGGCTAGGAAAAGAAGAATCTGGGACGGGAAGTCACGGTTGGAGAGAGTGTTGAGAGTTGCAACGAAGAGAGCACGAAGAACGGAAAGCGTATTATGGGGCCCAAGGACCCTATTTATAGTGATGACATGGAATACCAAACGTCACCTCGTTTAGCCACGGACTCCGTCTCCTCGACGCACTGCACCCAACGCAATGATGGCCCTACCCCCCTAGGGTGGCGGCACAATTCCCAAAAGATGCCTCGCGTGCCCGACCAACGTGCTCGGTACGGATCCTCCACGCATCCACCACCGAGGACGTTCCCGAGCACGACACGAGGAGGCTCCTCGAGGGGCCGCGCCTCCATTCTGGGCACGAGACCTCAGCGACTGAACAAGGTTTCAAGTCATGGCTCCTCGCAAAGGAACCACGACTTGGGGGGCTCCTGTTCTGGACTGGGCCCGACAGGCCCAAAAGCATTACTAAGGCCCAGTCCAATGGGACTCGCTAAGGACCACAACGTCTATGCCCGACACCCTGATGTCCACCTCGACATCCCAGTGTGCTAGCCCACGCGACGAAGTCACGCTCGACAGACTGCCGTCCAGCTCTATGCCCTGGTTTCCAGCTCGACATTCGCTGTCCAGCTCGGGGTCTTGGCACCGAGCTCGACATCACGCTGCACTGCTCGACATGGACTCAAGCTACCTCGCTAGGGCAGACTCAGTCACCATTGCCCCAACGATACTCCGTAAAGACCGCGTCTCTGTCCGCCCGCACTTCACGCACCACATCCAGGGAGGGGACCACGTGCTGATCCCCACTACCCACGTAGGACCTGGCAGTTCCTCCATTGGGCCAAATCCGCCCGGCCCAGTGAAGGAACCTTGGCCCAGCGCTGGGGGCTATAAATACCCTCTGCTTCCAGAGGGTCAGGTAATAATCAATTCTAACCTCAACTCTATTATCTGCTAGTACTCCCACTGACTTAAGCATCGGAGTGCCTTGCAGGTACCCCCCCCCCCCTCCTCGTTCAAAAAGCCTTCAGCTCGGAGCAGCCGTGACGGTCCAAACCTTCTGATCAGGTCAGATCACAATCCATTAACCAATTTTATTTTAACATTTAAGATTATTATTCTTATGTCTAGAGACTTATTAAACAAATTATAAATTGTATTAACTATCATTTTATACATATTATTAATGAAAGCTGGTTGTAATTTTTTATTTATTAGGACACTGAATGTCCAAAATTATGAATGATATTAAAAAGTAGTGTATTGACTGTCATCTAATAAAAATTTATTATTTAATTATATTATATTATTTATTTAAAAATAATAGTATGATTTAAATTTAATATAATTATGATTGGTTGATAATTAAAATTATTTTATATCGTCAGTATATATTATTTTCTCATAATATTAATTATTTTACACTCAAGTGATTAGTTTTTCTTTATTACTTAAAATCACTATGAATTATATTAATCAAATTTCCACAGTACAGTTGTTTTAGAGAGAAAAAGAGAAGATATATTAAAAAATCAATTTAAGAAAGTCATTATTTACTGTATTTGTGAAGAGTGACCGTGTCTAAGATTGTGTTAAAATAACATTACTATTAATTTATTTATTATAATTGAATAAAATATTATTATTTATAAAGATCTAAATTTAGAATTAAAATGCATAAATATGTATTTAAACTGAATAAATTGTTTACCCAACTATTATAAAAAAAACCAAAAATTATTGTAATCAAATTTAATGTCATAAACTCTTAATTGGCCAACATTATTTTGACATATCTTTAACTCTTGTAGATATTTTTGAGAAGCATTTAAAGAGTGCATAAGATGTGTCAAAAGCAAAGAATAAAATAAACTTTATTTGAGTTCTTTGTTTGAGTTGTGTTACTTGTTCGGTCATATTTGTTTAGGAGTGTTAAAAAAATGGTGAATTGAATTAAATCGTTGAATCGAATTGAATTAGAGTTAAAATAACTTAATTGTTATATTTGGTTAGTAAATCAAATTCATATTTTATTATTGATTCTAGAATCGAACCTATTAGAATGAACCAGATATAACTCAAAACCGAATCATTGTTGTTAAAATATAAAACTGAAATATATTAGTTCAGAACGTTACTGTATTAGCATTTGCATTTTAGTTACTCCAAACCTTTTTAGTAGGTTTTATCACGATTCTTTTGCTTTATAGGCCTCTTATTTATAGGCCTCTTATTTGTTTTATTATATACTATAATTTTCTTCAATATAATAAAAGTGACAATTTCCAAATGATGACATAAGCAAACTATACTATTTAGTGCAAGTTTTATAGGTAGGTAAACAGCCCATTATATTCAAAGCGTGTGAGAGATAAAGTGGTGGCCTAGAGAATGTAGTATTTCATGCACAATCAACAATACATTACATAGAAACATGAATGGAATGGAATAAACATAGTTATAGTTATATTTTTATGTACATCTCTTGTCTTGCACCCTATGAAAAACTCAACTAAATTCAACTACTTTAGCTCAACTGCCCTATAAGTTTTCACATAACACAACACAACAAAGAATACGTGCTCCATATATATGCATTTAATTTTTTCGTTATCATCAATGCGTGATATGTCATGGTTGCCAAACCTCTTCTACCCTCCACCATCTTCAATTACTATCCTCTTTATAAATTTCAACCCTAGATCATTTTCATAACTTTCTCTCTTCATTCCAATGGAAAGCCAAAATCCACCTCCTCAAAACAACACTTCTATCCCCTTCTTCTTTACTCCTTCTTTACCAAATTACCCTTTGGAATCTCAAGATCAAGGACTAATTGGTGATATTGACTCATGGGGCAACTTTTTCTTAGGACAAAGTAACAACACTTTGCTTGTTGAGGATGCTAAGGAGACTTTTTTAATGGATAATATTCAACAATGCACTTCTTCTTCTAATATGGTGAATATTATTAATGAAAGTGGGAGTTATCAACTACATGAAGGAGAAGAAAAGCGAAACAAGTTAGAGGAGAAAAGGGTTAAAAGTGGGAGAGTGAAGAAGCCAACAAAGGTGCCAAGGTTTGCATTTCAGACAAGAAGTGTTGATGATATTTTGGATGATGGATACCGTTGGAGGAAATATGGACAAAAAGCTGTCAAGAACACAACATATCCCAGGTATGATATTTATATGCATACGTGTCGTGCTAGACCGTTTTTGAGATATGTAAGACGTATTATCGCATAAAACTCAAAATTTGTCACGGTTAAATTATCGTTATATATGATCATGTAAAAATGTTTGTCATACTTAAAAAATAATTAAATAAAATCCCTAATTGTTTTATCATACTTAAAAATTAATCTCTTAGAATTATCAAAAACTTGAGACGGCTCGGGTTATGTTTGCTTGTGATTTCTTTTATATGTTGCATATTTATGCAGGCCGGATATTAAGTTTACTCTTTAGAATTTGTTGTGGGGGCTACTTAAATTGTTGAATGATTTTTTTTCTTTTTCTCTCTATAAATTTGCATTGGTAAAATATAAAGAAGCTACTATCGATGCACGCATCACACATGCAATGTGAAGAAACAAGTGCAAAGGTTATCCAAAGATACTAGCATTGTGGTGACTACGTACGAGGGAATTCACAACCACCCATGCGAGAAGCTTATGGAAACCCTAACTCCTCTTATAAAGCAAATTCAATTTCTTGCTAGTTTGTAATTGCTATATATATATATATATATATATATATATATATATATATATATATATATATATATATATATATATATATATATATATATATATATATATATATATATATATATATATATATATATATATATATATATATATATATATATATATATATATATATATATATATATATATATATATATATATATATATATATATATATATATATATATATACTTACTAATTAAGTGCTTAATTTAACGGTGAACATAATTTATATATTGAATTTATGCACATTACAATTGCACAAGGACCAATATGAGCTTCCTATCTTTCTTAAAACATTAGTAAAGAATCTCCATATTTACATGATTCACCTAAAGTCGATATAAATATTAAATAAATATTATATAATTATGATTAAAAAATTTATATAAAAATATATATGAATTAAGAGAGAGAAAAAAAACTTTCTATTATAATTGTCATATAAATTTTAATTTAATTAAGTTGTAGTAGTTGTCAAGATATACATAAAAGTTATGTTGAAAAATATATGAATATATGGTCTAATACATTTCACACACATCTATAAAATTGATTATCTACCCGTGCGTTTACATGATTTTGCAATATTGTTATAAATAGTAAATGAAAATAGTATAATGATGGTTACAAAATGTATAGGACCCGTGCGTTCACACGGATCGTGTGAAGTCGATATAAATATTTACCCGTGTGTTTACATGATTGTGTAATATTGTTATAAATATTAAATAAAGATAGTATAATGATGATTAAAAAATATATAGAACACGTGCGTTCGCACAGATCGTTCAAAGTCGATATAAATATTAAGTAGTCATCTACTCGTCGTTTGCAAAGACCACACAATGTTGTTCAGGACTGTCCCCGAGATTTTGAATGCCTTGTCGAAATTATGAATTTGGTGCCTTTTTTAATTCATAACTTTTTTCATCAAATTTATAAGTCATATGTATCAAATAAATAGTCAACTTCATATGTATATATAATATATAAAATTTGGTGCCCTACAAAATTGGTGTCCTGTGCCATCGCTCCTCCCAAACACTCTCCGAGACCATGTGATGTTGTTATAAATAGTAAATAAATAAAATATATTGATAGTTAAAAAATATATATATAAAATTTAAAAAGAATAACAAAATTGTGTATTCATAAATAATTTGTATATTCACTAATTCTAATTGTCTCATGTTTTTTTTTATAAAAACAAATATCTGTATCATTTTTTAGTATAAATATTAATTTTTTATCATTAAAAAAGTTAATATTTTTTCAAGTCAATTTTATTATTATTATTATTTTTAAATATTTGATATTTATGTAAAATAAAACTTAAAAATTTAAAAAAATTATTTGATTTTTTAAAAAAATATTTGTTATTTATATAAAATTATAATAATATATTTGATATAATTTGGTAATTGCTATTAAATTAAATATATGAGTAAAAAAATAAGTTCGATCCGTCGGACATGTCTATAACTTTTATAATTGCTTATAATAATAATTTTATAATTTCTATTAACAAACATTATAAAATAAAATATATTATACAACAAAAAAAAGAATTCGGTTAATAATAAATTAAAATTAATAATAATTTGATTAGACGCAATGAGTTCAATAATATTATGTTTGTTAAATTTGTGTAATAATTTAGAAATTATATGCTATAGTAGTTCATAAATTAAACATATAATCTATAATATCGGTTCAATTTAAATAAATATTTTGTCGTAAAATAATAATTTAAAATGTAATTAGTGGAAAATTTTAATCCCTGCAAAAATGGTTTTTAATGAATTTTCATTAAAAAAATCTAATACCCACATTGTTAATTAACCCATTTTTTCAATGGTCGTAAAAACAATGACTTTTGATAATTTAATTTTTAATATGGTTTTAATAAAAACAAATTTTATAATATGTGAATAAATATTTTATTCCATATATTAAATATTATTATATAATACGTCGCCAAAGACAGATAACATCACTTGTATTTTTTATTATCATATGTTTAATTATAAATGTTTTAGAGAAATTATATTTTAATACAAAACACATAAATAATTGAAATAAATAGTACATTAAATAATAATGTTAAATCTTAAAAAAAGACTTCTAATAAATATATATATTACCTACAAATCTAACTCACGGGTGATGAATATAGACCCAATTTTCAACCGACTCAAATTTTGGTTTTTTCAAGTTCGGATGAAATTGTTTCAGTTATGTAAATCGTTTTTTTTTTTTTCAAATATGGAAATTAATGGGATAGATAAAATTCAAACTCAAGTTTAAAAAATTGAATTATTTAGGCCATTTAAAAAATTGGCTTATTTTATTGACTTATTTTAATTGGTTTATTTTATTATTATTTAAAAAATTGAATTATTTAGGCTCATTTAATTATTTAATATTGAGTTATTTTAATTAAGTTGCATGCAATTTTTGAGTTATTTTATCAATAAAGTTCAAATATATTATTCTCTGCATCCAAATATATCAAAGAACAATTTATTTATAAATCAGATTGTTCTAATATACTTTAGATTTGACTTACCGAGTAAGTCCAAATATAATTAAGCTGCATTCAAATGTATCAAGAACAACTTCTTGATGAAGTCTAAATATATTAATTAAGCTGCATCCGGATCAGATACAATGGGTTCACATAGAAAAAAATCAATCCTTTTAATCTCGGGTTTTATTATAACAATTTTAACCAAACTAACAAATGTAAAAATTTATGAATCAAAATCTAAAAGATAAAGAAACGACTTTTGATTTCACTCATTTAATATATAAAAACAAATTTTCATATATAATAATTTCTCTTCGTATGTTGTGAAGGCTTACAAATCATTTTAAATAACTTAATAAGGTTATTTGCTTATAAGATATCAAATAAAGGAGATTTTCTATTTTTTGTGTAGTTAATAAATCAATATGTTGAGTTGGTTCTTTTTGCTATAGATTATTATCATCGTCAACAACAACCTCTCTTCACATGACAAGATTCAATTGTGCAAGAAATATCATCAAAAGAGTTCTTTTTGAGTGACTTAAAATCCATGATTCTCTTTAAAGGGTCCTTAACAAGCTCTCTTCAGAAATCTAAGGCTAATTTTTAATAGAAGATCATTAATGATTGAGAAAGATTACAAGTCTCTTTGAATTTTAGGATTTGACTTCAAATGATCATAACTTGGTCAATTTTTATCTCATTGAGCCCTTATTTTTCCACAATGATCTTAAGAGTGTGAGATTAAACTCTTATTTTATGTGCAAAGCTTGAAAATGGTTAGAAGATACCTTAAGAGTTCAAAAGATTATAGGTCACTTCATGGATTTCCATCAACTTCATAATGCCATAACTCTCTCAATTTTTGGAATTTTTGGACGATTCAAGTTTCACAATGCTCTTTAAGAAGTCTACTTCATGCCATATTCATTGACCAAAACATAATTTTGAGTGGAAGGCCATGTTTGAAGGCAAGATATTATAAGTCACTTTTGAACTCAAAACTTGAAATTTTTCTAAGTCCACAATTCAGTGTGTTTTTCACGATTTCAATTGATCATAACTTTTTACTCAAGCATCCAAAAGCTACCTTTCTTAGCACATTGTGAAGTTTGTGGTGAAATGTTTCCATTGCAAAAAGGAATGAGGTCATAAAACTCTCTACATTGTTGGTACCATGGTTGTCAAGTTGGTATCTTGAAGCGGAAGTTTCATGTTCAGTCAGATTTAAAAATCAATTTAAACCCAATTATAAGTATTTAAAAAGGATCAATTTCGTACCTAATCATGTTTAGAGACTTCCCATAATGAGAAACGACCCTTAAACCACTAATTTTCTACGTTTTGAGCCATGTGAAGTCACACTTTTCCATTTAGTAGGTTCACATGATTTCATTGATTTTTCATCCAATTCGCACGCTTTAGCCTTCCATCATGTCCAACTATAAATAAGGACCATCCCTCACTCATTTTCTCAAGCATGGATAGTCAAAAATACCCTGCCACTTTCTCTTCACAACACACTTTTCTGAGTTTTCGAATTCAGTCTTTCCTTGCTTTTCAACTCAACCTCTTGTTCTATTCCTCTCTAGTGAACTTGTGTGGAACTTATCAAGAAAAAAGAAAGCCAAATCATGCCTTATTCTGCTCAAGCAAAGACCAGTTTCAGAGCAATTTTCAGCTACTTCGTTCAGGTAGATCAAGACACCAATTCTTTAAATTACTGCAATGGTCTATGATGTTCACTGATGCTTGCTATTAACTCAATTTTGGTGAATCAATACATTTGATTCTTTTTTTTTATTTCAAAATTTTTAAAAATCTCTGGTTTTTATCAAATCGACTACGCTGTGATTTATATACATTTTTCGCGAGTATATGGTTGGGATCGTCTCAAGTGGATGCATCTAATGGCACCACTGTGAACGTGTAGATTTACAGATTGAAGGATTTGCGTTTTTCCCTATTCGTAGAAGGCTGGAGGTTGAAGACAACCTACGTGTCGTTCTTAAACCAATGATACACATTCATTTGTTTTATTTTGTTTGGTTGGACTTTTTTGTGTTACATACGCGCGCCTTGACTTGGATTCATGATACTCTCTCGCCTGAGGTCCATTAGATCTGTCAATGTGTATAAGTGAGTTAGATCCAACACGTGTGGTTTTTTCTGATTTATTTTATTTTATAAAACTATTTTTAAATCCCTTTTATCTTTAAAAACTCATAACTCTTTTATTTTTTATCCAAAAATTATGGAAAAAAATATACAAAAATACTTTGAATTATTTATGACTTCGTGAATATTTTTTTCATATTTTTATTGTGATGTTTGATTTTTTTATAATTTTTGTATTGTTTGCCTTATTTTAAATAATTTAAAAATACTTTATGATCTTTTTAAATTCTGAAAAAATTATAGAAGGATCTAATGACCTCTTGACAAA